GGTGGAACCGGGTCGGACCATTCGGAGTCTGGATGTCCCGGGAGAGCGTGCGCCAAGGAGGACGGTACGAGGGCAGGGATCTCGAAGACGTCATGCCGCAAAGATGATAGGTGAGAAGGAGTTTCATTCTGAACGGGAAGTGGGAATGGGGATGAATGTTGGACGTGCTCTACTCGATCCATACCGTGACTGCGACTAGACCAGATATCTAGGATTGGGACGGCTGGAGAGATGGTAAAGTTCGAGGCCAGGTTTTCGTCACGAGCTATCAATGGCGGTGGGCGATTTATAGCGTCTGAGATGCGAAGCGGAATGCCACTGGGGAACTGGTCGGGGTTACATTCTCCGGCTTCAGGACGCGTGATCCGGTTATGGGCAGGAGGAGGCTGGGAGGCCGCTGGAGCGTCGATGAGACTGGGATGCCAGCGAGAGGGAGGATAAGATGGTGGTGGTGGTGGATTGAAGAGCAGAGCCGGTTGATACTCGGAAATCCTCTGTTGTCGTTGGGCATCTGAATTGATCTGTTGATGCAGATTGAAGAGTTCAGAGCTGGACGGCTGGCTTTCTCCTCCCACCGAAGACTGAACCAAAGGGCGATGGTGATACGGGTGCATATTCAGACGAAAAGGATGCATTGGTTTGAGAGAGTTGGGAGCTTTGAACTCGTCGGAGAGACGAGTGATCTATAAACGAACGGCATAGAGTGTGGCGTTAGAGATCCTGAATCATTCAGGTTCGACAGACCGGAAGTTCTCCAAAAACGGAGAATCCGTGGCTGGGGAGGATAAGCCACACTTACAACGGCGTTGACTGATTTTGGGCCCAGCGCCTGGGAATCGTTAGGTTCCCTGGGACTCGAAGGCGGGTAGGGAGATGCGAGTGAGGGGATAGGAGGGAGGATACGGGGGGCCCGCTTTAGTTGGGCGGGCGAAGACAAGTAAATGGAGGAGGGGGTGGGCTGAACACTGGCTCGTCTTGGTCCAGAAGTGGTGCGATTCATGACCAGCATTTCGCACATCGAACGATTTTGAATAGATGAGTTGAGTAGAAGTGCAATGTACGGATCTTCGTGCAAAACGTGCGGACTGAACGAAGGGGAGAGAATCCGAGGTAGAACACCGTCAACGTCCACTGGTCCAATCATAGTATTTAAGATCGACCCATTCCGGAGTTCCGGAGACGTAGGGTTCGATGCTGTCAATGTAAAGCCAGGAAGTGTGACTCGTTGCGGGTGGTATCGCTCTCTTCGTCAGCACCGGCTTGGAGGCTGCCGACACACCTCCCTCATACCTGAAGTAGCTACTACAAGTGTCGCATCACCTGGAATAACGTTATGATGAATTTCCAAAGCTAGTAAATCGTGTCTTGTTCAAAGCGTTTGTCTCCTCGATCATTTGCGCCACTGGGGAAGACACGCTCTTGGTACTTCTTGGTTTCGGTCCCCCCAAAAGAGGCCAATTCCGGGAACGATGAAGCACCCGCAACTCATGACCGAAAGTGCAATCTATTTCCTGCGTGTGAGACTTGGGTTTGGTAGACATTCCATGATTGGGTCAAGGCGCTCGGCATGTGCGGAGTCCGACACCCAAAAGTAGTGATGCTTCTTTACGGGACATCAAGCAAGGAGACGATCGAGATAGATAAGGGTTCGAGCTTCGAAAGGCGTTTCTCTCCAGGAACCAGGTTCGGATCCGTATAGGCAGAGTATGCTGTGGAGCAGAGTGTCCGACCTTGCCACCGAAGCCAAATATCGGCGAGGAATCGAGATTTTATTCCGTGGAGATTGACACCACGTCCACGGTTGCCTGCGACTTGACCTGCCTCACCAAAACGGGTTGGAAGACAGGTTCAATTGTTGGCAGGCTTCTGAACCTGACCCCGGTTCTAGCAAGAAATCACCTGTCACTTGAGATAGGGTGCCGTAGATGGGATTGTTTGCAATAGGTAATTCGGTTTGCGGTTGATGTGGTTACGGTCCTTCAATTTTCGCAATAAGCGGGACAGTCGGGTTCCGTGGTCAGGCAACCCACGGCTGATCGCCGATAAATACTGTACCGAGTCTCGGCGGTTCTCAATTGAAATCCATGTTAGGTACATTGGCGGTGGGGAGACGGGAGGGGGGAGACATGATCTGTGGGATTGAATAGAAGAGCTCGAAAGGGTCCCCAGTTGACGTATACACGAGGGCAACCGTGGAACCTCGCCGCCAACAACCCAAAAAGCCCCACATCCGTGCTGAGGGCGTCTAACAAAATCACGGGGCATCGGAAATGAAATGAGTACAGCAAGCAACCAAGATCAACAATAATTCGATGTCCATTTTCATGCAAGCTCAAAAGTCGGGTTCGATGTCTTCATCATCATGCTCGCCCGACTCGATTTCCTTCGCCAACTCCTTCTCACGTTCCCTGGCTTCGGCAGCGGTTGCCAGGTCTTTACGGTGGGTGTTGAGTGGATATCGCATAGCCTACGTCAAAAACGCAAATCGTTCAGATCTGGAAGCATCCGCACCGAGGCCAACCCTTCAACGCACCTTGACGCTCTCATTGTGAAGATCCAAACAGAAACCAATGCGCTTCTGGAAAGCCTCTCTTGGTTCCCCAGTCTCGTACACGTCCCCGCGTCCCCCCTCGCCTCGTCTCCAGCTTTCCATCCAACCTTTTGAGTGGTCCACGCGGGCGTCGATAACGCCATCTCGCACCGCTTTGCCCACAATGTACTCTGCATCCTCTTCAGAATCCAGATGCAGCTTCAGGCAGATATCGCGGAGTGATATCCTCGAGTAGGCGATCGAGAGCGCGCGGACGCCAGTCTTGATAACGTTGTGGCGAAGGCGGAGAATGAGGGTGTAAGTCCCGTCTTGCGTGAACAGAGGCGCATGCGCTTGCAAACTTGACTGGAATTGAGCGAGGTCACCGGTACGGACGGCTGAGTACGAAGGTAAGGCTAGAGGTTAGGATCTAGACAAATCAGTACACGGACCGAGGGCGAACCTTGGACAATCTTAAGATACGGCCCCAAAGCACCCTTCAGCACCGGATGTCGGAATAGTCCACGTTCCGGGATATCGCCCATAAGCAGCTCAACGATCAAGAAGAGCTTGTGCACGGTCTGGTAGAACCCAGGAGCCAACGTCGCGTTCGGAGCCCTCCGAATGGCTTGTTGAAGATGAGTATGCGCTTCAGTGTAGTTTAGCTGAACAGCTCGAATGCGACCGAGGTAGTAAAGGTATCGAGAGAGCTGAGGGTTACCGGCGCTGTCGGGGAACTTGGTCTTGGAGACGAGCTTGTCGGCTTGCTGGTAGAGGTTGTAATGAAGGTAGTTTCGGAGTAAAAGGTTGATGAGGGTCGCCTGCAGTACGAGGGAATTGTTAGTCGTCGGTAGAGGGGCACGTCAAATCGGTTGTACCTGCAGTTCATCGTCGTGGCGGAGAGACGCCGTCCGTTGAGCGGCCAAGAAGAGTCTAAAAACGCGCGTAAAGTCAGTCTCAAACGACGGACCACTCGTCGGCACTCACGGCCTCAGCTCGGCGATGTCGCCTTGCAGCTCGTAAAGCCTTCCAAGATAGAAATAGACCTTAGCAGCGATGACGTCCAACGACCGCCTGTTCAGCTGCTGGATCTTGTCTACCGTCTCGTGAGCAAGCTGCTTCGACTTGTCCACCGATCCCGCGTCCAAGAGACGAAGGATAACCAGCAGACGGAGGTAAATGTCGACTTCGGGGCATGGTTCCGTCAACGCTGGGGGCGCCTTGGTGGTCGCGGCCGTTGCAGGCCCAGAGTCGACTTCCATCGAGGCAGTGGAGGACGAAGGTGCCTCTGGAAGATAAGGCAGCAAGCCTTGTTTCACAGGACCGTCTGAAGAAAGGCTCGAGTGTTAGACCTTGCGTAACCTCTGGAGATCACCTTAAGCCTCACCTTTCAGCCCACCAACGACCTCTGCCAACGCCTTTGCGTCCAGCTTCTTCCTCAAGGTAGTAAGGCTTCTCAGCACTCTGGCTGTGAATCGCGGTTCCAGCGTCGAAACAGCGCGCTCGATGAGCTGCAAGTTCGCTCTTACTTCCTCCACTGGAGTCGGCGCGGGTTTTGGGGCGGGTGTTGCCGCAGAAGGTTTGCTGGACTCGTCAACTTGCATCTTGGCTGTTTCATCCTTCTTGGACGCCATCGTAGAGGAGATGTCGGGGGGTAAATGAGGTTGGATTGCGGTTTGGACTTGGAGTACTCGATCGCGACGCGCGTCCTGTCACGGTATGTTCGCACGGTCCGGTGTCTTCCCTGACAAAGTCCCAGAGAAGCAAATGGCCTAAAGCGCAAGCACGTATGCGATAAAGAGTTCTAGACGAGCAGATCGTACTCTTATTTCGAGTGAGATGGAGTCTAGGAATTATTACTAGCTTGGGCAACTCCCTTTCATCGACCCAGTACTCGACGAACCGTTTAAACTTGGTTGGGGTGGAGACCGCTGGTTAAAAAAAAAGGCCCAACTAAAGGAGTCGGTTATTCCATTTCTTGTCCCGCTCCTACACCGTTCATCTGCTCCCAAAACGTCCTGAATAAAACGGAAGAATCGCTGTAAGCCCGGATCGAACGGTTCACCTTTTCTCCATATTCCCACGATATGGTGTCTTCTCACTCACTATTGGACAGTGCCTCAGAGACGCAAACGGTCAAGATCGTGGGTGAAATGTGCAAAATAAAGTTTCGAGCGAATATAATGTCCCATTTATAGTGCGAGGAATGAATCCTTTGGGCACCAATATTGTACCGACCCGGCCTTTCTCGACCCAGCACGACATCATCCCCCTTGCCTTTCTCAAACGATAAGGCCAAAGACCATTTATAACATCCATTTTATGACTTAGTCATATTTTTCTCGAGTCCTAGACCACGTTTGGGGCGAAAACTGTGGTAAAAGTTTAATATTGAGCGAAAAAAAGGGGTTTCGCCCCCTCTCTCATCCCTAGCTCTTAAGACGTTACGAAAGGAAAAAGAAAAAGGAATTGCCGTCAGCCCGGATCGAACGGGCGACCTGCAGAAGTTGCTTATCTAAGCTTCAGTCTGTCGCTCTCCCAACTGAGCTATGACGGCGGCTGAAAGTAATTGGCCTACTCAAATATATATAGGTAAAGTAGGCCAGGCATTTCGAGGAATAGTTGGTTGGTCCATAATTACGTTTTATATTATCGACTAATGTCGAGTTAGACATCAAAATTTGGTGCGCTTTTGCGTGCAGATAATAGGGGCGTTGTGGGGTGGGGGGCGAACCAAATGGGTGTTGTTGAGCCATTGGGTACTGTCCAAAGATCAAACAGCGTTCGTTCAAAACTGCAAGCGCCGACCTTTTCAAGAACCGCCACCTAGGTCGATACTTGATACAATTGACTGCGTTATATTAGATCAAAATTACCCGTATCTTGTCGTGACGGCAGCTTCTCTCGATGGGATAACGGATTCCATGCTAGAGTCATGGCACCGAAGGCGGAAGTTCGTGCCCTTGACTAACAATTACAGCTCGTATGCTTGCGGCCGAAAATGCCTCCCAGTTTCTTAACTTTCCCTTATTTGTATTTGATACAGCAATGAGCAACCAATCTAGCATTTACGGCGCAATAATGGTGACGTGCGGGTTGCTGTGGACATCTGACGGGGTCCACCTACCCGAAGTTCCCACAAAGAGCATCTCTTGTCATGTTTGTTGTACTGTGCCACGGCTTGGATGTTCATTCGGAGCTACGTGCGCGGGGATGTGATAAAGCCTTTCGGGGATCGATCAGGCCCGAGAAATCAACAAGGTCAAATTCGCCTCGTTTCTCCACATGTGTACAATCATCACCACCGCCCTAACCACCCTAACCGCCCGCCCCTAGAAAACCATAATGAGCCTGATGCCACGACATAGTGTTGCCTTAGAAGATTCAGAACTGAGGCTTGCACGCAAGAGAGAAGCTGTGGTACGTCCGAAATCAAACACCTGTTATCCCGTACAACCACAGCTCAACGGTTGATGATTGTTTGCAGGAGTGGGCCTACGAAAAGCTAAGAAAATATCACGTCGATTGTCGGAGGATTGTTTTCTTTAAGAAACAAAAAAAGCGCTCAGGCGGATACGGAGTTGTGCAACGGGCCGAGCTGTATCAGTCCGCCTACCTGCCCTCCTGGTTGGCGTCACACCTAAACGGCCCGCCGCAAGTAGTGGCCGTGAAACAGATACGAATGTCAGCCGCCGACGATCCATTCGACTTAAAGAGGGTGAGAACTCTCCCTGCATAAACTTGCAGCGGGCATCATAACGAATCCCGCGTGTCTTGGCAGGCTTTTACGAAGGAACTGCTCGTCTGGTCTGGCCTGAAAGATCATCCAGGAATCGCCAAATTTACTGGGTATTACGCCGACTTCGATCGTTTGGAAGCTTGGCTGCTGTCACCCTGGGAGCCGCACGGTAACGTCACGGAATTTACTGCGCGCCGTCATTTGGAAGTGCCAGAAAGATTATCACTAGTAGGGATTTTTTCACCAGATTATGGCGACTCTTATGAAATCTCTTTTTTAGGTGTACGATACAATTGACGCTCTGACTTTTCTCCATCAACTTACCCCTCCAGTCTGCCACGGAGACATTAAATCGGTAGGGGTATCGTTTCGTTTGCCATGCTCCAATGTCGACCACCTTCCTGGGCTTAGGCAAACGTTCTCGTCAACGCCAACTGCAGAGCGGTCTTTTGCGATTTCGGGTTAGCGCGCATTTTCGAAGACAGCGGGTTCGGGAGGCTCGAGACTTCAACGGGATTCAAAGGGTCAATCCGCTGGTGTAGTCCGGAACTGCTTGATGGAGGCCCTCGAACTCCGAATAGCGACGTATATGCGTGGGCATGGCTGGTTTGGGAGGTTCGCTTACCTTTGCTTTGGCTCTGAACCTGGCTCTGAACCTGGCTCTGAGCACACACACCCCAACCAGATTATGACGGGCGAAATGCCGTATCAAGAGAGTGTCGCTGAATACTCAATAATACGCAAAATATTCGAAAGTCCTCGTCCCCAGGTGGATGGGGAGGAGCGACTTAGCGATTGCTTGCAGTTGTGGGAATTGATGACGAGGTGCTGGGTGGCTACGCCGGAACAGCGACCGACGAGTCGGATGTGCCGGACCACTGTCACTTTCCTCGTACGTATACCATCACATTTTGATAATATGTGAATTCGGCTGACGTTGTTTCGGCTTTCATTTCAGCCACGCTGTGCCCCATCTCCCGAAGGGGCCGACCCTCTGTCGCCTTCCGCAGAGCTTTTGGAGAACCTCGGCGAACTCAAAAGCTGGAAGGGAAACTACGAGGAGGGTGTTGCACACCTGAAAACGGCACTCGAGCTTTATCAAAAGAAGGGCGACGACCAAGGGATCGCCAGCGTTCTCCGCAAGCAGGTTCTCGTCTTCTCCCGACATTCACGATACAATGAAGCCATTGAGCTTGGTTCGGTCGCTCTGGCGAAGCTCAGGGCCCTCGATGATGATCTCGGCGTAGCTGATGCATTGCATCAAATTGGTCGCTCCTTAGTCGAGATGCGAAAGGGAGAAGAAGCCAGGCTGTACCTCACCGAGGCTCTCGAGAAGTTTCGGGTCCACGGTCACGACGTTGGCACGGTCAATTGCCTCGAGAGACTGGCGATGATTCTCAGGCTCGAGGGTCATCATGACAAAGCACTATCCACATTAGAAGAGGCACTCACTCTTGCTGCGCAAAGCGGTGACAAGCTTGGTGAAGTGAATGTCCTGGTGGAGAAAGCGTACGTGTCCTGGGCCATGGGTGATTCCCCCAAAGCTGCCAAAATCCTGACTGCGGCATGCGACATTGCTCGTCGGATAGGGGATGGATTTGGGAGGTGCGACTGTCTCGAAGCTATCGCCACCATCAAGCTGACGCAAGGGAGTTACGAGGCGGCAGAGGAGACGTTCCAGGAGTCAATCTCGGTGGCTCGGAGCATCAATTACCGGTATATACTTGCCAGGAGCACCGCGAAGCTGGGAGAGACTCTGCGACGGCAGGGAAGACTCTCTGAAGCCGCCACCGCCCTAGTCAATGCGTGTTCAATCTATCAGGAAAACTCGTATCGGGGGTTCGATGGCGCCGAGGCCGCTGGGAACCTTGCTCAAGTTAAGAAAGCGCAGGGCGATGTAGAGGCTAGCTTGCTCTGGAGTGGGCAAGCGATTGACGAGTATCGCAAACTGGAGGCCTGGCGTAGGGTCTCAGAGACGCTGGAGGAGATGGGGACGATCCAATTAAACATACAACGATATGAAGAAGCAGCCCTGTCTTTCGAGGCAGCATGGATTGTCTACCATCAGCACGGGTGGGTCTGGGATGCTATGGGTGTGGCTTCTTATCTAGCGGGTATTCCCAAGACCATGATGAAAGTTGGAGAGGGCTGTTGAGTAGGACTTTCTTGGTATGCGGTGGCATGTGCTTCCACGGCGCGCGTTGAACGCGCGAGGTTTGGAAACCTCCACTACGGGATAACAGGTCTCTTAAGTCTGATAAATATAAAATTTTCTTTGCTAACTGCTCGTTACCAAAAGTCACAAGTGCGGACGCGGTCTAGCCGTCACCTTCGTCGTTGCCGGCGATGCCCAGGGCTCACCACGAGGAGGCCCGCATTCGTCTTCGAGCCCAAAAAAGTAAAGCTACTCCACGGTACTAAGCTACGCCGGTCATTTCGGTCGAGTAACTGGTTTAAATAACGGTTAAACTCTGGACAAGGTAGAGGCTGTTGGTCCATAAATACGTTATGTATTGTCAACTGCGTAAAGTTAGACATAAAAATCTGGTGCGCTTCTGCGTGTAAATTATAGGGAACTGTGGGGTGTTGGGGGGAGGGGGAGGGGGAGGCGAACCAAATGGGCGGCCCTGAGTACTGTCCAAAGATCAAACGGCGGTCGTTCAAAAGTTAACTGCAAGCGCCGACCTTGTCAGGAACTGTCACTGAGGTGGATAATTGAGACAATCGAGTGGGTTATATTAGGTCAAAATTCTTCATATCTTGTCCGGACGGCAACTTCTCTCGATGGATAACAGATCCCTAGAGCCGTGGCAGTGAGGGCGGAGGTTTGTGGCCTTGACTAACACTAACAACTCGTGTGCTTGAGGTCAAAATTCCTCCCAGCGTCCCAATTTTCACTCGTCCGCATTTACACAGCAATGAGCAACCGATCTCGCATACGGTCCCATAAGACGTGCCGGTTGCTGTGGACATCTGACGGGGTCCACCTACCCGAAGTTCTTGCAAAGAGCATCTCTTGTCATGTTTGTTGTACTGTGCCACGGCTTGAATGTTCATTCGGAGCTACGTGCACGAGGATGTGATAAAGCCTTTCGGGGATCGATCAAGCCTGAGAAATCCGGAAACGAGGTCGATTCGCCTTATTCCTCCACCATCTCGCAATCATCACCACCACCTAACCGCCCGCCACCGACCACCCCTAGAAACCCAGATAGTTAAGCCTGATGCCGCGACATAGTGGTGCCTTGGACGATTCAGAACGGAGACATGCACGCAAGAAAAAAGCTGTGGTAAGTCCGACCACCAAACACGTGTTCTCCCGTACAACCACAGCTCGACGTTTAATAATTGCGTACAGGAGCGGGCCTTAGAAAAGCTAGGAAAATATATCGTCGATTCTCGGAGGATTGTTTTCTTTAAAAAGCAAAAAAAGCGCTCAGGCGGATACGGAGTTGTGCAACGGGCCGAGCTGTATCAGTCCGCCTATCTGCCCTCCTGGTTGGCGTCACACCTAAACGGCCCGCCTCAAGTAGTGGCCGTGAAACAGATACGAATGTCAGCCGCCGACGATCCATTCGACTTAAAGAGGGTGAGAACTCTCCCTGCATAAACTTGCGGCAAGCATCATACGAATCCCGCGTGTTTTGGCAGGCTTTTACGAAGGAACTGCTCGTCTGGTCTGGCCTGAAAGACCATCCAGGAATCGCCAAATTTATTGGGTATTATGCCGACTTCGACCGTTATGAGGCTTGGCTGCTGTCACCCTGGGAGCCCCACGGCAACGTCACGGAATTTATTAAGCGGCGTCATTTGGAAGT